TCTTAGCCGTTAAAGTATACTAAAACACTAATAGAACACACAGAACACCTTCAAATAATAGCACAAGTAAGTGGCCGATATGCCACAACTATCTCAGTTTGCTCGATGTTTACTGACAGTCGCGAAAAGAACATAAAGAACTTTTCTAGGCAGCTCGCGACAGAAACAAAATGTCGGGAAAGTTTGACCCGACGCATGCGCAAATCAAATTTTCGACTAAAAAACGACTCAAAACTGGTGGTAGGGGGTATATGTTTTATCGCCTACAGCCTACATTTTTCATCTAACCGAAAAAACAAACATTTCTTGCACAATTTCATGTCCACCAGCAACTATCGAGCACAATGTATACCTGTCACTATGCACCGTTACGGAGCCTATTTGTTTACAAATATGCTGACCTCTTTTGTTGTCACATCTCATACACACATTTTACATGTGAACTATTAAATTAGTTCCATGTGACCTAAGGTCACAAAGGAACTAATAATAATAATAATAATAATAATAAATAGAAGATGATCATTTACAACTTTCACCACTAGTTTCTTTTGAGTTTGAAGATGTATTCCCAATACTTGTAAATAAAATTACAATAAAAAAATTTGGCTGAGTGTTTGATTGAATCGGGGAGGATATTGTGCCCTAGAAATATTCATAGCTGGGTCTATCACACTGTTGCCACGTAAACAATTCCATGTTCTTAATTCTTAAAATCAAATCTATGTAGGTCATTATTTTTAGTTTTTGTGTGGAATAGATGAAATATAATTGTCATTCAACAACTATGAAGAGGTTCACTGCATGAACAAAAGCTTGTGTATATTTTCAATGAGGTTTGTGAGTCTGTAAAGTGTTAATTAAAGTCATAGATCTCGGAATAAGTTTACCTTCTATAAGAGCTTCCACAGCCGAAAAGAGTTGGAGTTTTTTCAACTTTTCAATGAATGATTTTATGTTTTCTTCACAAATTTCTCTTCTGTGCTCTAGATCCCTAATCAAATGCCAACTGTCTTTATATTTTTTTAGACGCGTCGTGTTAAAAAAACCATCCAGTGTTGCTACATCCGCTTCATTCAATGTCATTCCTAGTTTTACAAGCTTTTGCCTGTGTGGTGTGAATTTTGATATTTCATTCTGGAATAATGGAAGCAGATTGTTATTCTTTAGTATGAATCCAAATTGTTTAGTTATATTTATGGTGTCGCACAGAATACTAAGATCTTTCGGACTCAGATTCCCAGAAGCACGCAAGTTGTCCAGCAAGTCACGCATCTTATTAGCTTTATCTAGTGTATAAACATCAGTCACATGATCTCTGTACAATACTTTCAGCATACTAATGGAGTCACTTCCATCGTACCATTCTGATATATCATGCAATAGCTGACTGTAATCATCATCAGAGATTCCTGGAAATAATGTAACAATAATTATATCAAATTGTAACCTCTTCTTAAACATGATGAAATCAATGATAATAATAATAATAATATGATAATAATGACAATACGCAGAAATTATTTATTAACATTCCACAATTATCATGAACACTTAATGTTCATAAACCTAAGAGATAATTTAGATGGGCCAATGGTCAAAAGAGTTCATCCTGATAGGGGCAGGAAAAGCTTTTGATACGTATACTATGTAATCTGATATTATGGGAATAGGACAGCAATCCACACCACTTTGGTTGGAAAAAATGCCACAAGAAGAAGCAGAATCATACACCGCTATTAACATGCCAGGGGTTTCAAGATTGAAGAAGTCACTTTCTGGGAGGCCTGGATAAATAAGCTTTCAAAAAACATCTAATTTTATTTTGTTAAACGTGTGTGTGCTGATATGCACGGATGGTAATGCATAGCAAAATCATGCAAATATCATGAATTTGCAGGAGATGGGTTATATTTTGGGAGATAGTTTGCTTGCTCGTGGGAGACAGGGAGGTTGTCCTGAGTTCTGCAAGACTTGCGCAAACCACTTGGTGATAGTTTGCTTTCCAATTACAAGGTCATGGTTCAAAACACCAGGATGTGTACTCATAGTGAATACAAAACAACTTCACTTTTTAACCTTTACAAACAAACCTAGCTCATGTAAAGTATCTTGTGTAAAAAGTTAAAATGCAAATGCTGCAAACCCACAAACATGTATTGTTGAGTATTACCTTTAATGTAAAATTATGCTTCAAGATATATCACATACCTTGATTTGATTGCTCAATTGACTTTTTTGTCATTATTTCTTTTGTTCTTTTCTGTTTGATTTTTCCTTTTATTGTTTTCTTTTCTGGGTCATCTTCAGAGATATCTTCACTATCTGTTGGACAATTGTAGAAATAACATAGCACTCACTAATTGCATAGAATAACAATTATCATTTATTTTATAAATGTTTTACTCAATGTTAACCAATTTAAGATACAGGTGTATATTTCTTGTATTAATATATTTTTAATGAATATCATGAATTGATGGTGCTGTCAATAGCCTACACACAATTATTACTTCCTACACACTTTAATGCAATTTGTATTAAACTTGTTTCTAAAGAAATTGAGGACACAAAAATACCGTGGTTGAACCATGTGGAAAATTATAAAATACAATAATAATCATTTATTAATAATAATATTCAAAAGTATATTTGAATTAATTTTCGCATTAAATTATTTCTTATACATTATTTTCTTGGATACATAAATTAAGGTTAACTCACCTCGTGATGTCTCTTCTTCCATAATGTCACACTTTTTTTACAATTGATCAATCTATGAGGAGTAAAAAAATAAATTAGAATTTGGAACCTACTATCAGTGGAGTTGAATAGCTCAGTAGTTTTAATGCTTGCCATCTGATAAAAAAATAAATAAAAATTTGGGTATTTGGTATGAAATTAATTTAGCCAAATAGAAACTGGATTAGCCAAAACAAAACAATTAAGCAATGATATCTTCACTTCCAATTTGTCTAATTCTGAATAAAGCTAAATCAGAAAATTCATCTTTTATAGGGTTTGGCTATTTGGCTAATGGGTCATTCCATGTCAGTGAACATCCCATTGACTCAAATTTTAACGAAAATTGGGACAAATGATTATGGGACAGAGAAAAGTTTTAATTACTTGGATCTAAAAACATATATATACCAGAACATAACTTCAAACAAGAGCATCAATGATGCAATAGCCCACTTGACAATAGCTGGCAATGTTTAAAGTGCTGTCGGTGGGTGGAGGTTGTGTGGAGTGTTGTTATGTGTATTGAGCATAAAGAAAAACATTTAAAGTTAGAGTTAGTTACAAGTATGCATCATCATAGACCTTTTTTGTTATGTTCACTTAACAGTTTGGTGAGTGAATGGAATTTGTTGCATAGAAGTATTTCACTTTTAATCATCCCTCATCAGTCAATAACGATCTTCATCATTACCATATATGGATAACGGCATCTACAAGTCTAGATAACGATGACAGTTGCCATCCCATGGTAATTCGCGAAAAAAGAAATCCACTCCACCCCCATTAAATACGACTGTCGGCCTACATTTTATGTAATTAACATCTGATCTAATATATTACGTACCTAGGCCTATGTGGTTGGCTACGGATAGCTAAGTGTAGAGTACGAATAGCTAAAATATTCATAAATGTAAAGGAAAATCATCCTAGAGCAATGCTGAAAAGCTACCGTCTCAATAGAACAAAAATTCCATGTGGGACCTTGCTATCATGTATCTAACGGCAACGTCCTTGTCATCAACCACAGCACAGTGCGGCAACACGAAACGTGCTGTACATACACTCATGGCTACTGACTGATTTGATTTGTGTGGTTTAATACACATAAAAGCAACTTGTAGCCTACATTTATTTCCTGTAGTATCTGATCTCGACTAGGGCCTATGCCTACACACACATACCCAGCCAGCCTATTCGTCTTCGTCAGGCCAGCCTGCATTGCAGTACATTTACACGAAATAAAATTTGAATATTATGTGGATTAATACACATAAAAGCAACTTGTAGCCTACATTTCCTGTTATCTGATCTATTACACACACGTACTACCCAGCCAGCCTATATTCCTAGTTCGTCTTCCTCTAGCTCTAGGCCAGCCTGCATTACAGTAGTGTACATTGTTTATCTCTCTGGGGAGAGACCACCCCCCCTTGCAAGCACCACAAAACGGCTCATTATTCGCTGCCAACTAGACTCGTGCAGACGCATTTATTAGCTGCAAAGCTTACCATTCCAGGCCGTGATTGGTTGATAAACACAATGTGATCTATTACAGATTTGCAATCTGATCAATGACGAACACGCTTTCATAGGAAACCCACCGTAGTGTTAAGAAATATGATAAAAAAAACATACTTTTCACATATTTCCCGACAATATTTTCGCAAAAACTCTTCATACTTTAAATTCCCCACGCCTTATCTTCCATATTATTACAAGATCGGCCTAATCGCGTCACAAACGAAGGAAGAGATAGAAAAACAAATGACTTCAAAATTTGCTCAGAATCCTCATATAAGCCTAATAAAAAAAATTAAAAATTAGGGCTAATAAAAAAATTGATGACCTTTTCACATATTTTTACTGCTGAAGAGGGGTAATTTGGCTAAGTCTTGAACCCCACACAGATACGCAATAATCAACATGTGGAAAGAATACCCCACATTACAATATTCAGTTTTCCAATTTTTTTCTTGCTGAGAGCTTTATAAAAAAAATGGTTGTTATCTGATAGAGAAGAACCTTGACAACCATCAATATGGTAATCGCAAACATTTTTCCACAACTCATTAAATGGTTGAACAATACGTTCTTTTGATAGTGTTGATCGCACAACTGCTGTATCCAAACTATTGACAATTGGCTGCAGACCAGAAAATATACCTTGGATTGTAAGCTTCTTGTCAAATAGCTCAATGTGTCCACTATAGATCTACATTCTGATAGTGTTAATCTTACATGCGGGGTCCACCAGGGCACTCTGCTTGGGCCCCGATCTTCCTTGCTCTTATTAATGTGCAATGCTTGATTCATCATGAAATGCATGGAAGTATGTAGACGACTTGTGTATAGGACAGGTAGTGAAAAAGTCTGGTGTATCTACCTTTCAAGGTGCTGTTTTTGCATTAAATGAGTGGTCTCATGCAAATAAGCTTAAACTTAACCCCTCCAAATGTAAAACTATGGTTTTCAACTTCCAAAGAAACTAATGCCAACCTGAATTAATTGGTAATACCCAAATTGAAATTGTTAAAGAAACAAAGCTGTTAGGGATGTGGATACAAGATAAAATTAAATGGGATCATAATGTCAAAGAAATAATTTCTAAAGCAAGTAGACGTCTGCACATGCTTTGCAGATTAAGGAAGTTTAATCTACCAAAGCATGACCTTGTTGAAGTGTATAAATGTTACATAAGACCAAGTGTTGAGTATGCCGTACCTGTTTGGCAATCAGTTCTTACTTTTACAACATAGCAATATGACTAAATCAATTCAAAAAAGGGCTTGTAGGATAACATTAGGCCATGAGTACATAAGTTATGCCCTGTCGCTCAACAAGCTTTCTTTAGTAAAACTATCCGAAAGAAGGTACAATCTCTGTTGTATGTTTGCCCAGAATTGTTTGAAAATTAATCATTTCAAAAAATGGTTTAATGCTTGCTGACAATAGCAATATGGACTTAGAAGAGTGAGGTATCAGCGTTGAAAATGTCGAGAAAGGTATTGAAAAAGTGCAATACCATTTCTTACTTCAATCCTAAATGAATGATTTTGGCTTAGCTGCAATTTTAATTAAAACAATAATAATAATTATAGCAACGTTAAAAATAATAATGACAATAATAGTAATTATGATTATTATTGATGATATTAATTATTAATTATATTGATTGATGGTTAGTTATTAATTGGTTGTTACTATAATTGACATTATTTATTATATTAATATTAACTATTATTTAATAATTATCACTATTGTAATGACTATTACAGTATATGAAAATATATAATGACGAAAATAATAATTAAATAAATGCATGACAACTAACATTATACCCAGATTTGTTGGTCCATTTTAAATGACATTCATTTTTTATTTTTTTTCTATTTAATTCTAATGTTGGCCCCTTTTTTCATGTCACGTTTTTCTTTCCCAATTTTGATGTAAATTTAATTGAAATTGAATTTTGTGTGCAATGCTTGGATGATTGTTTTTTATTTTTTTTCTTGAATTTTTATAATTATAATAATAATACTGTTATAATAATATTTTATCATGATGTTTTTTAACCTGTTGTGTACTTCTGATGTTTCAAGTTTTAATGTATTTTATGTTACTTTTATTTTCATTTTTCATGTCATGATGTTTTGATGTTTTAATATTTGCCTACTTTTTTTTTATTTGTAAATATTATGTAATTCAGAACTGGCTGCAATTTTGATTTGAATAAAAGAAACTAAGATTCATTTCCGGAAAGTTTGGTTTGTGGAACAAATTATTGAAAGATAACCTTTTATATTTAGGATTTTTCAATTTCAGATTTTGTATTGCAAAAAAAGACAATAGGGTCATTCCATGCCAACTCAACAAATTTTCAGAAAATCATGGCTGGGTACCGTCTCAGATTTT